GATCATGCAGACAATGGACTCCGGACTAGGTGCGTTCCTCTAAGTCTTCCTACCAATATGACTATGTTGCCTAAACAAGGTCAAACAACGACTATGCAGCTTTTGGCTACAATTAAAATAAACCGATGTGATTTTTGCGCGTTTAATCATAATGCGCATTCAACGCAGACTTTAACCATGCTATGAGTTGTGCATGAACTTAACTTAACTTTATTACACTGTGCAAAAATGTTGTATATCCTAAAATTCATAAGAGCCCAAGTCGTACAGTTTGAATTATTATATTCTGCCATAGTAAGCATCAGCATTTCTTTTAGCCTTTCCCTCATTAATAGGCCACGGCGTCTCCATAAACCTCTGCTCTCGATACTGTGTAACATTGGTTGGTATGATATGCGCCGTGAAAATGTCTTTCTTTACAATTACCTGCTTCATCTTTTCTTTTCAAAGGCGCGCAGTGACGTCCTTGGAAAGATTTGCTCCGAGCTGCGTCGTCGTCATGGCCGGGTAGTCACCAACGAACTGAGCGAGGGTGAGTCAGCTTTTTTGATCCATGCTCGTCTCCCAGTAGTCGAGAGCCTGGGCCTAGTTCACGACCTTCAGGATCGCACCTCAGGCCTCGCTAGCCTACCGCAACTCCGGCCTGGTGGTTGGGAGCTGTTTGAAGCCGATCCTCTGCTTCGGGATGTCAACGGTTGCGTTGCAATTGGTGAGGATCATCTTCAAGTTCATCAATTGCATTCACTTCAGTTTCCAGGGTTGTCATCGGGTCAAACGACTGCCTCAAGACAAAGCCGAAGTACCTTGATAAATTTGCGCCAGCACTCTTCAACGACGCATGCTGATCAGGCTGCCAAGACATCTGTACAACCGCAACAGTCTACAATCAAGCAAAGCAAAGCGTCTGGAATCACCCCTGCTTCGGCCGGCAAAGGTTTGAGCGTCATTCATCCTGCAAGCAAGCCTGTTAAAGCCACTAACCAATGCCACGTACCTCCCACCTGCCCAAAGGGACAGCAAATGGTGAGATTCCTCATTAGTATTTTCATTTGGATATTAGAATAGTGCTATCATGAAATATAAATCAATCTTACATGTTACTAGTATGGTTTTGCCAATCCCCTAAGTATATTTTGTTTTGTTCCGCTTTATATTACTGAATAGCTACACTTTTTGACAAGAAATGCTTGCCACTTTAAAAAGCAGAGCCTGCTATAACGATGTAATCCTTTATTATTTCCTTTTTATCATTTTCAGACCGGAAGGCATCTGAATGCCGTAAAGAAGAGCTCTATCAAATTTTCCCCTGAAACTGTTGTAAGTCGAAAGAAAGCTGATTTTCCCGTTGGTTTACATGCGTCAGTTACCGGAGTTGAAGACGATAATGACCCTGAAGAGACCGCACTTCAGCTCGACGAATTGAGTGCACAATTGTCGCGAGTTCGCGATTACATTTGCTCTGTCCGCCGTGCTCGAGGATTGCCAGTCATCGAGCAAATTGTTCATCACGCCGAGAAGCAGAGAACCTTGAAGAAGAACAAGTAGACTCATATCACATCTACTTTGCAACAATGTCAAGCCTCAAAAGGTTAAAAACAATTTATTCCTGGGAGCAAACACAAAATCTAAATCCCATAAATAACTCATTCTAACTGCCCCCTAACAGAGAAGGAAACGAGAGAAGTCGCATTTGTGTACAGAGACTTCCTTGTCTTGAATTTGATTTTTCATCAGATGTGATATCAAACTTAACTTGCATTTTTTTCGTTTCATATCCAGTTTTGTGATTCCAGGTCGGCTTTTTAATAATATTTTGGCAGCCAGATTAAATCTCGATATTCTCCCTGAAAGTTTTCCTAAATCGCACTTTCTCTTCACAAGCTTGGACCACATTTCCTCATTTTGTTGCCTCGGATGAATTAGTTGGGTTAAACTGCTAATTGATTAATCTCATCATATTATCTAAGATATTGGTATACCTGAGAAAAAGAGGATGTAAATATAACTATATTACTTTTTTTACGTTTCCACCTTATATACTGATCATATCTTGACTTATCTTATAACAGATAAAGGTCTATATCACCTTGGTGAACACACAAAGACTTAATTACATTCATCAACCTTCCTTCTTGGATCTAACTAAACTTTTCCTCCATTGAGGTTAGAAGACAAATTATCCAACAGTAACTGATTCTCGGAACTCAGCTCTCCCGCCTATAAAATGTACAGTACAAACACTGAACATGTCATGCCGGCAACGGGCTATACTGGCTGATGTATATGAACAGAATTGAATTCAGATAAATATTGATCATAGGCTAAATTTATTTGCAAAAACAAGCGAGTGGCCAACATTCCAACGAGTAGATATAAAGTTTTTGTTTATTGGGTAGGTAAGACCAAGTGGAAAAATCCGACACGAGCCAATAGTCAGTCACCAGATCGAGCGATCAAAGCAATAAAACGAAATTCACAGAAGCTCTGAGAAGCTTATTTGTCGTATGAATTGCTTTCTAATTGATCCTCCAAACTGCTCATATTCTGCTTAGCTCGTATTTTTGTTTCATATCCAATTTTTTGTGATACTTAAGAGCTGGAATCTCTTGATTCACTTTCGCTCTATAGTATGGACGGTCTTTTGGTGAATTAAAACCCTCACATTTGGATAGACTGAATGGCGTTTTTAACGGTAAAATTTAATTTGCCAAACCATATACGAAAAGATCCGAAATAGCGGAACACATTGCACGAACAGGGCACGAAATCAACTGGAAATCATCAGAAAGGTTGGCTGTATGTGGTGAAAATACGAGAAAACAAAAGATCAGAGAGGCCATCGAAATACTGACCGAGAGGAATCTAATGAACAGGAGACTTGAAGAAGGCAGGATCAGTA